GGTATACAAGTCAAAACCAAATATCAACAACCACAATGTTTAAGATTTTCAAGTGAAATGCCCTAAACACTTGGGCGACCTCAATCCAGAGCAACAAAACATAAAACACAATCCTTGAGTTTCCCAGTATACTCATTAAGACATGAAACTAAAGACAGATATATGGGAGGTCCCATCTCGTTACCCAGATCCAGTTGACATCTTCTTGTTTGCTTAACCTCCTCTTGATGGATGCGTCCTCTTCCCCTCTCTGCACCTGGTGAGTGAGAAGCGGTCAATCTCGTCGTTACTTCCTAAGGTCTTTGCCCTAAGAAGCTCCCTACTAAACGCATTATTAGAGTTTGCTTCCTAGCATGAAAGTCGTTCTCGCTTTCTGCTCTTAAATAACCATTCTTATCAACTCATTTCAACATTAACTCATAAAAGTTCTCGACCTCTATCCTTATCTCAACCCAAAACACTAGGACCACCGCGTTACGTCTCGTCGTTCGGTGTCCTACCCTAGTATGCCAACCGCGTTACGTCTCGCCGTCCAGTCCATGCCCGTCAACTACTGCGTTACGTCTCCCGTCCATTAGTGACCCAACCGACCGGGGGTTACTCATACCATCAATCATACAACATCACATACATTCATACATAACACAACGCGTGCCTCCACCCTTATAGGCGCTGGGATGCCTCACACACATATCGCGCATACTAGAAAAATTAACTAAATAATAACTTGAACGAAAAGTGGAAACTAAAAACCCTACGACAGAGATTTTACCCCCTTTACACTCACCTCGAAAAGATGACTCCTCAATTCCTTCCTCGAAGAAACCCCTCCTTAGCCGGATTATCTTGGGGAAACCTATTAATAAGAATCCATTTTCCTAGACGACCTTTCTTGATTTAAAACCCCTTTTGAATCACTAGAACATCCTCTCCTCAAACTACGGTCCTTGAACCTCATTCCAAAGGTCCTTTAACCCCCCATTAAAATTTTCTAGAATTATTCCATTCAAAAACGACAATTTTTCTTAATTATTTTTATCTTGGACGAATTTTTCACCTAACTTGAACCTTCTTATAATTTTTGACAATAATTTTCCCATGTCAATCATGAGCACCTATACCTGGAAAATTATCAAACCTTTAAAAACCCCTTGGAAAGATTTTTATTTAATTAAAATAAATATTAGAACAATTTCTAAAAATAGAAATACATCTTCAAAAATCCCCAAATTAAATTACAATCATCTCCTAAACGTTGCTCAATTTATAAAATTGTTAAATTTAGAAAATAACCTTCAGAGAGGCTCGAAACAATTTAAAAAATCCAAAAATACGTTTTTGGAAATTCCCAGCAGCTTTAGTGACCAATCAAAATTTGTCACTAAAAGCCTGTAAAACCTGTTGTAAAACCCCAGAATTCTACCCTCACGAAAAATCACCAAATCAATCGATCTAACTCAAAGAGATCGAGTTCTCTTACCTCTAGAACGTGCCTAGGTCTTGGTTGGATGACGCGGGACGTTGATCTCCTTGCCGTTACGCTTTTGGACAATTTGAATTTCCGGGCGACTCGACCCTGCTGCTGCGCGAGACGGAGGAGGGAGAGGGGCGTTGGTGTTTTTTTTTTTTTTTTTTGCTTTCTCCGCGACTGCTGCTCTTTGCGTGGGAGGGAGTTGGTGAGAATAATTGATTAAGGGGGAAGGGTTTTGGTGGCGTGAGGGTCGCTCGGCCCTCCGCCTGGTTATATTTTTTTTTTTATCCAATAATAATATTATAATAATAATGTTATAATATTATTATTCTTAATCCGCGATTGTAACTCTTAGTACGTAACCGTCAATCCAACCGATCACGTATTAAAGTCGAACCTAAATCTAAAATATCGGGGTGTTATATAGGGTCATTCCATGGTCAATGTAAACTACATTAGAGCAATTTAAACACATATACATATATAAAGATCAATCATTTATGCACAAAATACATGTATGTTTATGAAGCTTATCGCTCTAGCAATTTTGTACATCCAAAGTTCCATAGGGAGCGGCCTCACTCCCACATTCACATAGGTGAGTCTATCAGAAGCACCCCTAAAGTAAAGTACTTCACTCCACATGGAGTATAGACCTCATTAAGAGTTTCTATTAATTCAACCTCTAGTCTTTGGGATTCATGCTTCACTATACATGATCTTTTCTTAATATTACTCAAGACTTGTTATTACCCATTGAACTCGTTTCTTGAGATCTCCAGTCTATCGGGTCGGGTTACCGTCACTTGTAATTCATGGTTCAGTAGGCATAAGTCACATACCCTTGGACGTATTCTGGACTTTCTCTCTAGGTAATCCTTTCGTCAAAGGATCGGCTAGATTCTGTTCGGATCATGTATGATCCACCCTCACTACTCCTATCGTTAGGAGTTCTCTTACAGTACTGTGCTTACGACGAATCTGTCGTTTCTTTCCGTCGTAGAACCGGTTCCTAACTTTAGCAATAGCTGCGGTGCTATCACAATGGATCAATACCAGAGGGACCAGCATTCCCCATAGAGGAATCTATAACAACAATCCTCTTAACCAACTCGCTTCTTCACTAGCTGTTCTAGTGCTATCATCTCTGATTCGATAGTTGATTAAGCTAGCATTGTTTGTTTCTTAAACTTCCAAGACACGGCTCCCTCAACAATGTTGAAGACATACCCGTTGGTTGCCTTGGAGTCGTCTGATAGGGTATTCCAGTCTGCATCACTATACCCTTCTAGTATAGCAGGGAACCTTCGATAGTGTATACCAAGGTTCGCTGTTCACTTGAGGTATCTCATGCCTTCTCTATAGCATTCCAATGCACTCTACTATGACAGCTATTAAACCTGCCAAGCAATCCCACGACATATGCAATGTCTGGTCGAGTGTAATCCGCCGCATAATGGAGACTGTCAATGATGCTAGCACATTCAGATTGTCTTACACTGTCTCAAGTGTTCTTGAATAAAGAACAATGTTAACAGGTGGAAAACCCAAAAAAATTTAAGTGATTTGTGATGACTTGGCAATGACGTGGCGCTTTGACCGTTAGTCAACACATTTGACCGTCTAAGATAACGGTCAAATTTTGGGGGTGGCCAATTTATTAACTTTGATGCATAGTTGAGCCCACGAAGTTATAAATTGAAAAGATTGATCAATATGTGAAAAGTTCGTGTCATACAAATATATTAACCCTAATATAACTAGAAACAACTCATTGTCATGTGAAACTAGAATGCAGGTCATTCAGGCGGCCCATACCCCACCCATCACCTCTCATATAGGTTTTTTTTTGACAAAGGACAATGAATTTCCATTAATTGTGGCAAAAGCCAAACATTACAGCAGAGCAACCACATCAAGAATTTGTAGCCATTGTGAGGGCAGTTGGTTTTTAGCACATGATCTAGCCACCCAATCAGCTTTGGCA